GCCTACAGTATTTTTACAGTCTTTATTTTACAGTTAAAATAAATGTTTATCAAATAAAGTTTAATGTCACAACTAATCATGGATCACTTTAAACCCACCGAATTCTGAGGAACATCCTGAAGGAAAAGGAGAGCCAATGGCAAAACGATGCAGTCACAGATGATTGTGTGCTTACAAAACTAAACAGTATTTTTACAGTCTTTATTTTACAGTTAAAATATATGTTTATCAAATAAAGTCTAATGTTAGAACTAATCATGGATCACTTTAAACTCACCGAATTCTGAGGAACATCCTGAAGGAAAAGGAGAGCCAATGGCAAAACGATGCAGTCACAGATGATTGTGTGCTTACATCTTAGTACACCACCATCATATGAGGTGWATCAGTTCAGCTAAATATTGTCCTCTTTAAAATGATATATTAGCTTATTAGTGTGTTGCAAAAAAAAACATTTTGAATAAGTGCTGATTTTCAGGTTTAGTACTGATTAGGACTGATTGGCYCACACATTCCATAAGCAATTATATTAGACTTAGTTTCCATAWTTTTGTATCTTGCATCACTTTAAGAAAASCTGCAACCCCTGTTGTCTCATTCARCTCTAGCTTTCTAATAGTGTCAGTCATGCCTGTAGCATTTTATAAATTTGATGCGGTCATAAAAAAAAAAGAACAAGAACTTTTAATAACTTTCCAGGTCAGGCAATATCCTTTCTGCTACATTATGACAGATTACAACAGCTCCTAATTGTGCTGTATTTTTGAGGTGGGAGTGGAATCCAGTAAATCACCTAAATGTGGTCAACAATAGAGTGTTGTCTCTAACACATTTTGTTCACCGCTAACACCTCGAATAGCGAGACAAAACAAAATTAATTACAGCCCTGCAGGCCTCACCCTCGCCCGTTTCCCTACAGAGCAAGAAGCCTTAATGGGCTCCTTGGGTCTTGGGTTTAAGGGTGTTAACCAGACTCACCCACATTTTTGGAAGATGAGAAAGAAGAAATGTCCGGGACTAAGATCTTAACCGTTTTTTTTTCTCCAGAGACTGCCACATCATGTTTTCTTTCTGTGATCCTAACCATAATATATAGTTTTCAATCATCCCAGTGGGATGCGCTCCACCTCACTAAAATCACAGCCTGCCCTGTACTCCACACAGCAGTTTATTCTGGTTAGGGTGGGAGGGTAGGGGGGGTCATTCAGACAGAGGAGAGGTCTCAGATCCTCATGTAATCCGACTACACATTCCAGCCTGCATCAGAGGAATGCTGGACTCCATGAGGAGCTGCATTCTGCCTGTACTCATTGTTTTTATAAATTAAAAACAAAACTAAAATGAGACAAATTTTGATTTAAGTTTTYCATAAAGATATGGTTGGTATATATCATAAAAGAGTGATGCTTTAGAGTTTGCTTTTTAGTAATTCTCTGATTTTTGCACCAGTAAATCTCATTGTAACTGGCTTTAACACGTCACTGATCCAGTCACAGGTGATAAAATGCTCGTGAGAACACACACAGAGGACGCATTGAGATCAGTTTGTTCAGCTAACATTTGGAGGATGTTTTGGCTGCATGTGGCCACGGGCTAAAAGCACCGAGATGATTCAAGGTCAACGCAACGGTCCAAAACTTTTATTTTTCTTCTCACTGATTGGGTGTCCGCAAAGGGGAAAAAAAAGAAGCTTGGTGTGAAGCGGAGTGGAAATGCAAATGTCGACATTCCCAGAAATCCTCCTGCTTCTTAGTTACAATCAGTTCTGCAGCATCAGTAAACAACAGCTGCAAAGGTCGTGTCAAAGCTTTTGGTCCAGTTTGTTCAACAAGGAGCCAAATTTTACTTCCTGACCTGTGAAGCTGGCCATATTTAAAGATGTCAAACTGGTATTTTAATGTGGTTAGACAGAACTTTATCCTGAACATAAATGTTGTCATACAGGTATATAAACAACCGATCGATGCTTAACAAATACAGTATTTTTCTCTTTCACATTTTCTAATTCAGATATTTGTTTAGCTGAGGTGTTTATACACAAAACTCTTGAACAACATTAATGATGAAGTTCAGAGCCGGCTCTTGGCATAGGCAAACTAGGAGGTCYCCTAGAGCGCCATCTGCTGGAGGGGGCGCCGAACTGCAGAAGAAAAAAACGTAATTATTTGTAATCCCTGGTTGTAACTCTGTTCAGTGCCCCTTTCAATTAGCTTTGTCTTAAAAAACTATAATGAAGTATTACAGGAGAAATAAACTACTCTATCCATAAAACATCCCCCCCACAATGCAGCAATCGCCCCCACCCTCTCTCTCATTTGATTGACGTTGCACTGACTCGTCCTGCTCTGACACTCTGACGGGGGAGGGGCTAGTAGTGCCTCTCAGATAGCGGTTCGTGTTGACAAACTCAATAACAACAAGTCTGTGTTTTGTACATGTCAACCTCTTTGGACGTTTACCTGTATAAAAAGCCTCAAAAATCCCTAAATTTAGCAAAAAAAAAATCCATACAACTTGCACTGGGGTGGGGTGGGGGTGTCAGCCTCGCTGCAGACATGAAAGCTCCCGCTGTGAAGCAGGAGGAAAGGAGAGCGGAAAAAGTTCAAAACTTATTTCTAGCGGCAGAACAGGTTGGAAGATGGCTGTTTAATGTTATTTGTTTTTTTGTTTTTTTAGTAATCCTACAGGCTCTGACATGTTGGATATATTTGGAAATGAGATTTTGAAAAAATCTGTAAGACTTGAAAAAATCCGTGAGATTGCCCTAAACGTCCGTATACCTGCGAAATGACGTAAAATCCTTATAACTTACGGACAATCCATACAAGTTGACATGTACTGTATGTTGTAATCTAAGTTAACCACAGTACCTTACACTGTCAAACTTGTTTTTAGGGGTTCAAATTGGGGTGGGTGGGACATGGTTCGGGGGGGGGGCTTCAACTCGCCTAGGGCACCAAAATGCCTGGAGCCAGCACTGATTAAGTTAAGGTTTGCTTTATGTAGCTTGTTTTTTTCTTGTTGCATTACTTAACATAATATACTCTTTGTCATTTTCTTGTGTTGTAACTTCTTTTTTAAAATTAGAACCATGCTTAAGCCTGTTTATTTCTTATGACTGGGAAATAAACATAATGTGACATCGCCAGAAGGGATTATGCTGCTTTTGACAGCATAAATGTACCCAAATGAACAGAAGAGACATCTCATCATCTTATTTATGTTTCTTTATTTAAATGTACTGCAAAATCTAGGGAAGCGGTCATCTAAAGCTTGCTGTGTGGCCAACAGAGACATGACAAATTGTCGGCCCTCAAACACAATCTGTTTGTTTTTTTTTTTTACCTGTAAAGATCAGCATATGATCATGGAATTCCCATACAAACATCTATAAAGCAAAGTGTTTTAAATATGAATTTAAAAATGTGAAGCCCTTGTGAGCAAACCTCAACAATGAGAGTGTTGGAGTCCGATGTTGTCATCTGGGTGGGGAGCTCTTGTTGTGGACATGGACTCTTGACTGTGCTGGATTTGTTGGGTGTTTGGACACAGTGTGATGTCATCGGGTTACAAAGTGAGCAAGAGATTTGAAGTTGCAGTTTCATCTAATTTTATTTGAAAATGAATTGAGTGTTTGCACATGTGGTGCGAATGTTCATGTTCTCTCCCTCACACACACACTCACATTGATGCTTTCTCCAAAACTTGGAAGCTGCAGAGCTTCTGAAAAGGGTGGTAACTTCCTTTTGGATAAACATGTCATTAATCTGAGAGCACACATTCTTTCCCATCYCAAGATAACCAAAGGGGAAATGTCCGGTGTTGTAATATAGACTGGACCTTCATGCTGCCCCCCCTCCAACGCAAAATGACCTTCGCTCACACAGACTGACCCAGAACGAACTGACCCATCCTGTCTTAAAAAAAAGTGTAACACTACCTGATGTCATATTTTGTAACCGCTGGGGTTTTAGTGGATAAGACTTTTGGACCATGCACTGTMTTGTGAGGAATTATTTGAACTACGCAGCTGTAATAAAATATTTTTGAACCTATAATATATTGTTTTTGACACCAGAGACCAACTGTAAAACCAGTGGTTGCAAACTAAAGACATGCCTTTTCCTGCATAGTAACTAGAATCTGTCAAGAKTGTAAAGTGGGAATGTGTGTACTCAGCACAAACTTTGTGTACACTTGTTTTTTTTTAAAGAAAGTTAAAGCTAATATTCCCAGGTGAAAAAAAATACTAAACCTAAGTATACTTTAGGATACTTGAAGCCGCACTAATCATCACTATAGAGTGCTATTTTGAAACAACTAATTTAATACTAAATATACTTTAGTTGTATTTAAGTTGTACAAAAGCATAGCAAGTATACTTTTAAATATCAAAATCAAACAACTTAAAATATACTTTGTACACATTAAGTGTATAGCTTTGTATGTACTAACATGCTTAGTT